CCCAGGGGACAAAGCTAAGGTGCTTGCAGCTGCCCTAGCATGATCAATTGGTGGTGAGTATCGCATATACCTGCATGTTCCAGAGCAATTTTAGACTGTACTGTGAGTTAATTTTAAATTTATTAAGGTAACCGATGACACACAGAAACTAGATTATGTTTCCTTTTTAATCTGAATGTTGAGACAGAACAACACATTAACAAAATGGCATCCCAGTTGAGTTTCCCCCCGCCTTATTTATATTGCAAGGATTATTTATATCCTGATGAAACAATAGAGTCAACATACATTGTTGCATCATCACATCATCTTCAGTTGGCCCTGGCCAGAAATTGCAATACCACTCTGGCAGTAGCACATAATCCTTGGGTTTACACACTTACTTGCCAACTATACATTTCTCAGTGTGATAAGCATTTATACTCATCTATAATTCTGACGTTAATTATGCTGAATCATTTCCAATTTTCTGGAAAACCTGGAAATAAGAATGCAGATCCTACACCAGCCGGCCCCAATCTAGTGCCCTTGGAAACCTTTCGAGCTATAACTTCTATCAGCCACAACCAGTATGGCCAATGGTCAAGAATGATGGAAGTTGCAGTCCAGATTATATGGAGGCTGCTAGTTCTGGGTAGGGTGTCCTACACAATTTCTCACATCTAACTCCCGTGTATTTCAGTGACCAATTTTTATTTATTTATCTGATCAGTTCACAATATCACAAAGCAATTTAACAATTAAAAATGTCAACATTTACAAGCAACTAAAATGAAAACTTTTGCAAGTGTTTGCTCCAACTGCAGATTTACAGTGCATCAGTAATGGAAAGAGAATCTTTTCTTCAATGGGTGGTCCACCCAGTGTCCCCAACTGACCTCCCTCCCTCTCCCCATTGACAACAACTTTGCATCTTCATATGCTGCTCATGACGACTCCTGACACATTCCCTGTACACCATCCTAAAAACATGGTAAGGGGGATTTGAGTGCCAGGAGCCAGCTCAAGCACTGATGAGGATGACAGTCTTCAGAGGCTCAGGCTCTGAGATGGAATCTAAACACATATTAAAAATGCTGTAAAAATGCTTTTTAAAAAAGTTTTAAAAAATATATTGAATTTGACATAGCTCGCCATCACCATCTAGTGTCGCATTTGTATAATGCACTTTACAATGCACTTAAACTGTTTTATTTGCAGCTGTATAGCTGAGTCCTGAGTCTATTTTGCAACATGTCAATGATGCAATAATAGTGCATTAAAGGTAAAGGGACCCCTGACTATTAGGTCCAGTTGTGGAAGACTCTGGGGCTGCGGCACTCATCTCACTTTATTGGCCGAGGGAGCCGGCGTACAGCTTCTGGGTCATGTGGCCAGCATGACTAAGCTGCTTCTGGCGAACCAGAGCAGCACACGGAAATGCTGTTTACCTTCCTGCCAGAGCGATACCTATTTATCTACTTGCACTTTGACATGCTTTCGAACTGCTAGGTTGGCAAGAGCAGGGACTGAGCAACGGGAGCTCACCCCGTCGCGGGGATTCAAACCACCGGCCTTCTGATTGGCAAGCCCTAGGCTCTGTGGTTTAACCCACAGCGCCACCCGTGTCCCTAACAGTGCATTAGTGGTGGGTATATACTGAACCATCCACACCTCATTCCACTTTATTAGTTGCTCTGCAACAATAACTACTTTGTTATTGCATTTTTGCCATCTGGTGGGGCACTCTTGCACTATAGCTCAACAAAAGCAGGGCAAACCACCCCCACCACCCCTGGAATGTTTCTGATATGAAAAGTTACAGGACTTAAGAAGGAAGCTACAGGACATGTAGTGATTGAAAACAAAGCAGGATGTGCACTCTGAAACTTTTGCTGGCACAAATAGTGTGGCTGTGTATAACCACCCCTATACCATCATAAGCACAAAGCATCAGGAATGCACTACGAAGAGGGTGTTTGCAGGGGCCCCAGATTGATCCATAGCACTATTTAACTAAGCAGTAGTAGTGAAACTCTTCCCCCATTATATTTGTAGAAACTCACAGGCATACTCTTGAGATTTACTCTTGTCACGTTGGAAGCTGGCAGTTGTTTCCAGTGAGCTATAAAACTCCTCTCAAGAATGGCTGGTTTCACACAGACCTTTTTGTACAGACTCAAACAGGCGAGTCTTTTGCTTGGGTTAGTCACGTAGATCCTTAGAGGGGGGAAATATGCTAATAGAACTGTAAAGCAGTATTCTATAAATAGTGCCAACACTGAAGTCACTTGAACTGATGCAGAAATGGAAGGGTTCATATTGAAATCACAGTTCTTCTGGAAGCAGGGAGTTGACATTCACCTTTCTGCATTTACTGCACCGACACTGCCTTTTATCTGCAAAACCGTTTGTTTTATGTTGGCTAAAGTGCATTTTGCACCTTGTGGATCTAAGACAGACAATCTGTACTTAACCACGCAAGTTGGCTCTGCCTATTTTATACAAAGGAAGTGGGGGGAGAAAACCTTCATAATTTTTTTTTTAAAAGCAGCTAGTAGTGAATGCCAACCATTGTTGAAGCAAACCTGGTGATAATGCAAATGAAATATTGAGTGCCTTGAAGGGAACAGAGGTACGCAGCTGCCTAAAAGATTCAACATCCAATTTTGCTGCAGCTACTCTGCTATTTCCATGGGAAAAGCCTGTGGCTTTTCAGTGGAGGGACAGCTCAGCACATGCGAAGCAATGTGTCTATGAAGCTATTCTTGACAGTGAACTGGACAAGGAAACCTGCTTTCAGAAGTCTCCATCAGAGGACACATGGAGCACCAGAGCAGAAGCACATTAGCTATGTGATAGATGTATTTTGAGAAGGTGGACAGAAATGGAAATGAAATATTATTATTTATGGCCACGTTATTTCCAAACGTTAACTAGTATAATACAATCTACTAATCTGAAAATCCTGTAAACTGCCTGAGTGGATCACTGGGCAACAAACATAAACTAACCTGCACTCTTTAAGGGGAAAGTGGAGTATTAAATAACCTTTGCTACTGTATTAGTTTCATCGAGAGCAACTCACGTTGCTATAAATGATGCTTGACAGATTTCATATTTGCACTTAGGCGAACACTACCACCAGTATTTTTGTACAAGTAGCAACTGTGGACTCTCATCTTAAACAGTTTCGCACATGCAAATCCAATTGCTTCTGTGGAATTTGGGAAGTTGACTTTTCTAGTATTACAGGTGGTGTTCTCCATTTGATTTCCCAGGCTGGTGATAGAATCTCAGCATTGTGATATATCTTCCATTTTTCTTTCTGTTTCTCATGGCATGGCACAGGGATATTCCGTTTTTGCACAGGAGAGCATGGTGGCCATTTGGGGTGCCACAGTATTGCCCCCAAAAATTTCTTTTTCTGGGGCCTCAATCTCACATGGCACCCAAAAACATGCACCCAATGATTTAGCTTGTAATATGATATAAACACCAAAATATAATGTATGCCATTAGAATAGTTCATAAGTAAACACTAATAGATCAGGAATAGAATTATGCACAATGTTTGAATAGCTTAAGGATATCTTATTAAACCACATATCTCACACTTTTGAAATATATGGTTCTTCTTCATATATTAAATAAGCCACATGCTATCACACTGGATAACAAAAACAAAAAAAGAAGGGAGGGGGTTCTTGTAGGTAAAAATGAACTGTCAGTTACAATGTGCTGAGCGCAAGACACCAAATCAATATTTTATAACAATACAAATCCATCTCAGTCAGCTTGAATCAAGCCTACTGCAGCTTTTTGGAAGGCAAGTTAAAGTCTCCGAGGTACTTTTCCCTTCAGGTTGTTAGCAGCTTCTGTAAATGGAGTTTTGGTGCACTGAGAGGTTAGTGTCATTAGGAGATTCATTTTGAATCAAACTCGTCTCTTACTTCCCTCACCCCATTCATTGGCAAAAATAAATTGCTACCTCTAATGGCAGCCATATTTTGTGTTGCATTTTATGGTAGTCTTAGTCATAGTTTTAGCAGGATGAAGTAGGTTTTTAAATAAGATCTTGGTGATATATAAAACAACAGATTCTACTGTCCCCGTTTATGGTGTGACAATGCTTTACTTTTCAATTCAGGGGACTATCATGTACACAGAGTAACACCTGATGGTTACACACCCAAGAAATTCAAAGAGTCTTGGACAGTGCAGATGCACAGCCAGATCGACATCAACATTTGCTACAACTGCAGAAAGGTCCTTCCATGCATGAATATCACTTGCTGAATCGGGGGAAATATCTGTGATTTCAACAACAGAGACATCTGCCTCATAAACCCTTGCTTGCACCCGATTATAATTGCCTCTAGGACAGAGGCATAGCAAGGTCAGGCGGTACCTGATGCGAATTTTTTTTTGTCACCCCCCCACATTGAAATTTTTGGGAACGTTGGCAAGAGTTGTTGAGCTTTTTGGGGGATGGTACTCCAAAGTTGTTGACCTTTTTTAGGGAGGGTTGGCCATGAAACAGATACGCCTGCAGATCACGCAAATCCGACGATCACATAAAACCCTGTCAGCGCTGCCAGCCGCCCACCGATCGCCAAGATCAGACTGCCGATTGCATAAAACCACCCACCGGGAGGTGTGAATGCTGCCCGCTGGGAGGGTGCCAAGCTGATCGCCAGGCATATCTGTGTGATCAGCGGGCGAATTTTCATGACAACAGTCATGCCAGTCGCAAAAATCCGCCTGCCAGGGATGCAAGCACCGCCACGCCGATCTGCCCAGGGGGATTTTGTCACACACACCCCAGCCCCCTTGTGACACCCCTGCTCTAGGATTCAGGGCTGCTTAAGCAACAGATGTGGCTAAGAATGAATGTTCTAAGACTATAACTTTGTCTGGAGTTGTAACCGTTTCTGTAAAGGCAGCTATTTATTTAAAGCAGATAAAATATTTTTTTCTTCAATGTGTTTATGTGGAAAAAATACAACTGAACTATGTTAATACTTCAATGGTGATTTCTTTAATGCAACACAGATCAAAATAATAATAACAACAACAATACTATATTGATGGTGGTGGTCCTTACAGTCTCAAACCAACATCATCAATTTGCTAAATAATATTTTTACATGGACCTGGAATTAAAAGTTTAAAAGGAAGGAAAAAAACATACTTGTTAACAAATCACAAAATCAGGGCAGGCAGAGTAACGCAATAGACAGCACGTAGGATTGACTTATTTGAAAGGTTTGGATCCCGTTTCTGCCATCACAAGCTAAATTAAAAATGGCAGTGATTGTGTTAGCTTCAAACTGAACATGCTGAACACCAGGGTCAAGTCCTGGAGTGGTTGCTTGCTAAAATGGAACAACAACAAAAACGGAAAGACACGATTTGCATTTAGATCAGAAAGAAAGATTACCACAACAATATACAAAACCGTGTAGAATTCTGTATAACAGTGAAACAAATCTTTAAATATAAGTGGAGGTGTGTATTTAGAGATTGTTTTATCATTTGCCTTGGAAACCTATTTTCTCTGGTGCCATATTAAAATACAGAAAGTTCCTGTATTTCAACTTCAGTGGCACATACTCAAAACCAAAAGCTTTTTTTTTTTTTTTTTTTGGAGATTAATTGCTCCAGAATAACTACCAGTCCCTGGATTATAAATTTATGCCACACGTGCATAGGCAGTGAAAGGAGGAGGGACCTATTTTACGATTATTAAACTACCTTGATGTTGCATGTAAAAGCTTAAGCTGCTAACTATTTTGTATTAAGTGATACCGAGTATGTGCCCCAAAGCTCTGACTACATTCGTTTTAGTCAGAACAATTATCTTATTAAGAGACAAATTGTTTCCACCTTACTCCCTGACAGCAACTGTAATTTGTACACTTTTGTACACTATTGAGATAAATCAAACACAAGCCAGCTGCACTATCTACCAAATACCCCTGCTTTTCACAGTGAAGAGTGACATCCCATCCTAAACAAAAATGATCCTCTAACAACAGTACAGTACAGTCTAGCAAATCCTGCTTTTTTTTCTTTTATGAGCTATCCAATGTTGCTTGAAGATGAATAAATTGAGGCTGTTTTGAGAAAGGAGCATGATTCCAACAATGAGGTAGTGGAATGACGTGGGCTTCTAATAAAAATGCACTGACAAGGATGTTCATCGAAAATGCACTGCTGATACTGTGTGACATGCACAGGGAGAGACAATGCATGTATAGCCTGCAGTATGCACTGGCTGTGGAAAGAGAACGCATATTTGGCAAGATGAGGGAGGGAATTCCTCCCCCCCTCCCCGGAAAATGCACTTCTGGTTGGGTGAAAGGGAATGAGCATGGAGAAAGCATTGCTGGCAGCAAACAAATTGGATGATGGATAAACAGGATCTAATCTCTGCTGGCTGTGGAGCAAGAGGGATGTGCATGGAGTCTACACCGCAAGCAATTTGAAAATACACAGCAGCAGTGAGAGGGAGGCACGTTAAATGTGCTCCGCTGGCCCTGGAATGGGTGTAGATGAAAACTACAGGCAGAATCTATGTGATATTGGAGGAGAAACGAGGTCTGCATGAAGAATTCAGTGTGTAGAGAGAAGAGGAGTTTGTGCTGATGGAGTGTGAAGAACTAGTTGTTCCACTATATGGGCAGATAATATTAGCCAGTAACACTGACAGACCATAGAAGAAAAACTCAGCAGGTTAGGAGGGATTTCATAGGCAGACACATATGGAGGTACCTAGATTTTGACAATAAGGTTACAAGCTCTTGCATATGTTTAGGCTTTGTCCATCCCACTCAAAACAGTGGGATTTATCCATACCAAGCTAGGGATGTAAAAAGCAGGCTGGCACAATCCCATAACTGATGTCATGTTGGAAATGGCATTAAGAGAAGCGTAGGCACCAATGATGAAAATGGATGACATGTTTTATAGGGATTCCCATATGGTTTTTCTAGTGCTCAGTGATGCATGCGAGTGAAATGTTATACCAGAACTCCATGCGTTCCCAGCATTCTGTCCTTGTTCCTTCACACTTCTCAGCTACATTAGATATGAACAAAAAGTGCTTCTCTGCCTAATCAAGCCAATCACCTCCAGAAGATTCTACGAAAATGCTGTGTGCAAGATGAAACTTGTCAATCAGAAATGGAGGGAGAAAGGAAGAATAGACAGGATTGGAAACAACTTAAGTCTACCAGGAAGGGAGATACAATCCAGATTTGCCCTAACAGCTCCTGCACTGAAAATAGGCCAGAACACCTCTAAATGTTCTGTCTGTGGATACAGAACAGTTCACAACTCTCATTACAGAGTTGGAACATAAGGTGGCTTCAACATTATTCAGTGATTAACTCAGGTTCACACTTGACAAAGAGCCATAGCCAGTCCTGACAGCCTACATGTTACACGTGTTTTTGAAACATATAAGGTGTGCACCCAAGCCACATGATGTTTGGACCAGCTCTTTGATGAGATTCTCTGAAAGACTGACTTCTGTTTCAACATGTTGAAGATCTGTGACGGGAGCTCTCAAGGTCTTTTCAATCCTATGAAAAGCAGCCATGATGGGGTCTCTGAATTGGGCCTGTGGTGGGATCTAACCCTTTATCCCCACATTGGATTCTCCCTTCCCCAAAGCTGTTGTTATTGTGGTGGGGAAGACTTAACCAGTTTAAGCAACGAAGCTTGTAAGTTTCCTCCTCCACAGCTACAAGCAGTTTCTGGGGGACAGGCAGTGGCGGAACAGTTACACTCTGCCTTCCCCAGGCTGTGTCCCCAGTCCAAACTGGGCCTTTCTTCTTTTTTTGTAACAAAATTGCAACTCCTGTACAATGTCTAATTTGGATCCTCCGTTGTTTAGTACAAAATTGCAATATGCCAATAATTCACCGCAGGTTTCACAACATAACCAACTCTTGTTCCCAGATTACAGTACCAGCTTCCATTGCAGTCAAGGGCAATGACATGAGCAATATCTACCCCAAGATTATTTTAAAATGCACCCATTTCATATCCAGCTCAAAATGGTAATAAATAATGTCAGTATAGTTATATATGGGCAAATGGGTGATTTCTGCCTTAAAAATAGGCACAGAACACACTGTTCCTCTGCCCTATGTGAAATATCTCAATACGTAATTCTCTTGGAGTCTTTATAGGATCAATGTATATTTTTCCTCATCTAGAGTAAAGAAAAAAATACAATAATTTCATACCAACAGCATGTGCTAACTGCCCCACTTCATTCATATGTGTGTTTACACACACATTTTTACTGTTAAATAAATGTCTAGCATCTAAATTTATGGCACAATCAAACTGCCTCATCCACAGCTTTATTGAAACAAAAAATGAGTGCTTTTTGGAAAACATGCCATTTAGTAGGGTGAAAAGCTGAGGAGCCAAATCAACAGCTTCCTTTAAGCTTGGGCAGTCCCATAAATTTGCAGACCAAGTAACAGTTTTGCTTCACTAAGCAAAGCATGGCAATTTGATTTCCCTGGGATAGTGAAGCACTATGCTGTGGGGGGAGGGGGGACGGACTGGCCTCAGAATCATACATTTTGAAGACTTTGGTGCAATATCATTTTAGTCTAGATAAATAATTCAGTAGAGGCCATTAAAAATTAACCAAGGAAGGAATTTTCATAGGAGAAGCATATGAACTGAAGCCAACCAATTCTGTTCATTGCTAACCTAGGAGGTTTAACGGGCAACCAATTCAATTCTTCAGTAACAGTAAGCATGTGTTTGCTTTGTCAAGACAGGGCCTGTCTTAAATCTACTGCATGTGCTTTATTCCTATGACTGCTAATGGCTGGAATCCACATACCATTTATCCCAGGCTACTCAAATCAATTGAATTGCTCCAGAATAAGTGCATTGTGGACTCCTGCCAATGAAGCAATGCATGTGCACTGAGATGAGAACCAAGTCTTTGTCTCAGATGCAGACCACACCTCTGGCACCTCTTTACAATCTATGGGAGCAAAATAAGATCACACAGAGCAATCCATGCCTTTAAAAGAAAGCTCCTGTTTAAAAAACATATGCCACAGAAAATACTGGAAGTATACATCATAACATAACATATTCTAAAAACATGTAAAAGGTACCAAGTGACCTATAAGTGCAAAGAGTAAAAAATACCAAATACCTGATGTAGCATACTCTTTTCATGTTATGTACAGGGAAACAACTGTACAAGCATCATCCCAAGCAGAAGTCTAAACAAATAAAGCCTTCTTTGAAGAATAAAAATAATAATGACATCATTATTAAAGAATACAGCATCTTTGGGATCTGGAAGATCATTTCTGCCTATCAAGGCTGTAGAAATACATGAATTTCTGTTATTAAAATGCACATCTCTACAGAATGCCTCTAGCATGGCCACTTGCACATGGTTCATTCCCTTAATTCCAGCACTCCACTATTTTTCTCAATCACCAGAGTGCTCTACAGATCACAGAAGGGAATGAAATACACCTAACACATGTTTATTGAACATCCTCTTCAGTGCATTGTCTTAGGCACTGTTTATTTTCTAGTGTACAAATATAATCTTCTTATTAAAAATAAAATCATCATGGTCAAAATTAGTGGCAATTTGTAAGCTGCGGAATTAATGATTTCAAAATCATTAGCTACTCAAGTCTATAATTTGATGCACATTTGCCTGTAAGCAAGACCACTGAACAGGACTTCCTTCAGAGCCACCACACACCAGATTGCACTGCACAAAATGGTGCTTTGTGAATAATTAAGGGTCAGTTCTTAAGACCCTGGTTCATGGCAACATGTGGGTTGAGTGTAACACTGCTGATGAGGGCAGGGCAAAATGCAGGCACAAAATGAAAGGCTTGGATCTGGTTAAATAAGGAAGCATCACACACCAAGTCAGCACTGATACAGTTAACTCACATGTTGTTGGTGCAGTGTGGTGCTTCCACAGGCTATGTTTTGGAAGTGTGGGAAGCACCTTACATTGCTTCTCTTCAGGTCAAAGCATCATGTAAGAATTGAGTTCCACATATTCCTGGCTACTGAAAGCGCCTTGGAGTTGAAACACTGATAATAGTTTGATGAGTTTGCAGTTCTGAGACAGACATGTATAAAGATCATTCTCACATGACCTGTACGCTATCATACAAACACCCTATGAATGCAATGTCTGCAAGACTTGCCCTACAGACACTACATTCATGCAGAATATACCACATCTTCAAATTGTGGACTCATCCCTATGTCCACAGAGCCTTGCCCTGATTCATAAATCAGCCAATCCCCTTACTATGATAAAACAAACACTCTTCTCCTCCTCCTTTTCAGGATGATTGTCATCAACTTATAAATACTACTAGCAGACAACTGAACAGCTACCAAAATGGGTCCTACCAACTGGTAGCTACAAACTGGGCAAACAATGTTATTATCTTTCTGATCCCCTCCACAGGTCTACTTGCTACATGCCAGCCATTTCACCTAAACAGTCGTGTGTTTTAGGAGAACAACACTCTTGTTGATTGTAGTGAATAGACTTCCAGCATAGTAAACAAGGTAGTTTTCACTCCAAACTGACATTACAAAACTGTGATCATTCATACATCATTGGAGTGTTAACAAAAATGATATTATTGCTAGTCAGATGTGTACTTGGTGCTACTCCCTTACCAGCAAAATTGTGTGAGCACTGTTGGTAATGGAAACTGCTCTGTCATGCACAATCATTGTTAAAAGTGTTGCTAGTATCCCTGGAAGATACTGAGAGTGATTTACACTGCTCCCATTTTACTGTGACAAAAATGGTTGTATGTGTGATGCCTTCTGTGCTTGCTAGCCTTTGAAAGAAAAGCAACAACTGGATGTAAAATGAAAAAGCAAGAAAATGAAAGACAACACAGTTTTAATGGACATCTTAGTCATAAATGGAAGGGGAATTTTATCTATGAGTAACTCTAATGTTTCTTCATACATAACAGGCTACAGATCAGCAAAATGCATATGGTGAAAAATTGCAAGAGAGATAAGGACTCCCAAATGGCAACGTTGTTTCATAGGATTTTAAAAGATACACCACTGTTCTGACCTGCAGCTAACTCTTCCGGCATATTACAACATCCTCTTTCCAGCTCAACTTTCAGCACCCTGCAGCACTTCTCTACACAACTGCCCTTTTAAACAAAATGCTGTAATAGTTTTGCATAAAAAGCATGCAGAAACAGCATGATCTTCACTGATGTAAAACAATGAATAGCTGTTTATTATCCAGCTTGGAATAAAATTTTGTGTCCCTGGATTCTTTCCTTCCAGAGTATTACAGCCACAAGGGGACAGTCTGTGTAATTTGATGTAGTCTCAGGGCCTTCAATGGGAGGGACTACACGCACAAGGATGAGTCAATCATTCTCCATCCCAAATCTACAAAAAACACACAAGCACTCAAGCAGAATCAGGTCAAATGTGAATCCCATTCTCAGGCAAAGTTAAATAACTGTCAAAATGATTTGGCAACATTTGCTATTTGCACCATTGGTCTGTTTGTCTGTGCATGGAAGTTTATGTGCCCTTCAGCATATTACAGAAATGTGTGCATGTATTGTATGTGTATCCATAGGAATATACATGCATATGTACAATATGAATTTGTAAACGGCTGCACACCTGCAACCACTCACAAATACATTCTGAGAAAGTATACAAAATAAACCCACCTGGGTTCATTAGCACTCTGCTTCTAAACATGTTTTTTTTAAAAACTTGGGAGACCCATTGATTACCACTGAACTACTTATTGCCAATTAATGCCAATTAAGCATGCTTAGAACTCAGCTTTCAGGGTCTAGCACATAGCAACAAAGTAAATATGGGGTGAAAGGCTAAGGTATGACCATTGCCTCCCTCCTCTAGGATAATGGAAGACATGGCCCACCCCAACCTTGTTGCATGTAATTTGCAAAAGCAGTTTCCCCACTATTATCTGGGATTTCTGTGGACCATAGCCTGTATCTGCATGGTTGCAAGCAATATACATTATTGACTGGGATCCAATGGTCTGTTTAAGTTCATGGAAAGGCTTTGCTGTAGCCTAATGATGATTTTGTTTGAACTGCTGATCCCCATGCCATATTACAAACTGCTTTAACAGAGCTCTTGCTCTCCCCTTCAAAAGCAGTTTACTATGTGGCATGTGGGTTGCTGTTTAGGAACATATGTCTGAAGTCCCCTTAGGATCACAAAACTTTGTTTCACTGTTGACCACTGGGACCACAGCATCACATGCCCAAAGGGATGGGGAGTTGGGAATTATGTTTCTTGTCCACTTGCTTCCCAACACTCCATGTGAAGTGGCAAATGACTTATGAAACTGAATATACTTTAAAAAGCAGTTTGTGACAACATATGGTGATCAGCTGATCAAAGTAAAAAGAAGAGATAAATCCCACATGGCTTACTCAAGCCCTTGCACATGCCTAAAATCATCCTTGGGAGTTTGACCTTTGTAAATAAACATTCCGGTTCTTGATTTTTTTTTTTTTGGCAGTTCTGATATAGGCTACATTAATGCAATTGAAAATCAATGTGATATAAGCAGCCTAGCTGTGGGCAAGAATACAACCATTATATGTTCTAGCTTTTCTTCATTAACCTTAATGTTCTTATTCAAATGTATATTATGTAAACCAATATTTACTTATGGGAACTTAAAAAGGAGAGGTTAAATGAACTCTTATAATTGATTTACGGAAGGAAATTTAGAATTTTCTACATCACAAAATATATATCGTTTTTTAAAGTAAGTTTTACTTTCTTAAAAAATAAATAGGACCTCTGAAACAAGCTCTTTGCCTAGTGGTGTTCTGCTTTATTAATTTATTTTTGTTTAAGCCCTGTCATATTAGACCACAATGGGGTTGTTTCTATCTTGAAAATAAATCTTTAGGCACATCATGTGATGCTGCTTCACTGAAAAGATGTCAATACAGCAACCACTTTTCAGTAGCACTGCTTATATTCAGTGGCAACAGACATGTCTGTTTTGTCCATGGTGATAAAATTATTTAATGGAGTAACAGTTCGCCAATTTTCTTCTCTTTCTTAAAGGAAAATAATCTTAAAGTCTAAAAGTTGGTATGTGTGTGAAATACAAACTTTCACACAGCAAATACCAAAAGCTAAATTTATTAACATTTGAAAACAAACATTTTAAAAATTGGTTTGCAGCCTCAGGCTTTAGCTCTGCAAGTACTAAACTGAAATTCTATTTTTTAGAAAGTCCTGAAAATAAGGGGTTTGCAGTGAAAACACCATTAGATCCTTGGTTCCAGTATTATGCATGCTCTTGTAAGATTAACACAATAGACTTGCCTATCCTTGGATGTTAGAGCCAATATAAAATTTTGCTCTAGTTACTGTACTTTTAAGAAGGTCCATACATTTAGAACTGTAAAATTATCAAGCTATAAAAACTAATTTTGTTTCAACTCTAGTAAATACAGAAAGACATTTTAATTTAAAAAAGCTGTAGCACTAAGAGTATCATATGCATCTATCTATACATGAAGAACCATTTATTGTATAAATGTTGTAGTTGTCTCTATATTGGCATTTAGGAAAGTTATTCCCTTGAACCTGATTATTTTGTGCATTGGAAAAATATTGGTGTAAACAACTGAGAGTTCACTAGATGTCTTCATTATCCACTTACACTAGGACAGATCCAAAGCAAACAGACAGACAAACAAAAATATATCTTATTATAGAAATCCATCTAACTTGCTAATCTACCTTTCACAAGTGAGTTGAATCTGCTGCTGGTTGACAGTGCTCTTTCTATCTCAGGTTAAATACCTGGGATTTTATGGTTGTTGCTATTACTCTGCTTGACATTTTCCCACAGTTAGAGCAAACATTTCTCAGTATAGGCTAAAAACATTTAAAACAAACAAATGTAAAATTATATATACTGGAAAACTTATTTTGGTCCTCTCTTTCCCAATTTGTGTCTTCTTTGAAGAATTCATGGCACAAGTTTGCATTATTATATTTTATATACCTAATCAAAGTCCTGCTTCCACAAAAGACATGGAAAAGTGGCTTCCCGAGTGGTTTAGTGCTTCAGAAAAACAGATACAAATGTTAAAAAAGTGCTCAAAAAGAATCTAACTTTATATTTATATATATACTATATATCAAGATGGACTTTAGAAGCACACATCCCTTTTGATCACAGAAAGGGCACATGTAGGTGTCTTCCTTTAGATGATGCCAAACTGCTTATTAGCAGGTTTCTGCAAGACTGACACACCCATATTTATCTTCTTCTATTTTTTGGCACTTTCATGATATGTGGCTATTTTACCTGTTGTCCCTGCTAGGCTCCGGTAACTTGCCCGGTGTACAAGCACTTTAGAAACTGGGATTTTTGTTCTAGGGATCTCACTTTTGGTAGGCTGGTGGTGTGCAAGATGATGGCTATTACTGGTATCTGGGCCATGACTGCCATGTGGCGACGTAAAATGCTTGATACTGATGGGTATCTTGGAGTCCTTGAGTGAAGTTGTATGGGTTTTGACTGGGCATGTTGTTGTTACTGGAGACAGTGGCTTGCAACAAGACACAGAGGTGACGTCTTCTGCAGAAGTAACTGTGGCTGTGTTTTCATCTGGATCAGCGTACAGATCATAGAGAGCATCCCCACTGTAGCTGTCCCTGGGAATTACCTCTTTCTGGATACTGTTGGCATTGTCCTCCTCTGGCCCAGGTGTTGTGGAATCCCAATAGCCTTCATCGCTGCTGGGGATGGCTTCCTGTGGCTCCTTTTCCCTACACTTCTGGTCATTCTTGTGACTGTGGTGAACCGGAATCTGGTTGAAACCAATGTGCTTCCCAGTTGTCGATGCATCCTGAACCTTTTTGGTACAACCACCACCTTTGGAGCCCTCAAGGGATTCTTTCCCTCCCCCCGGGGTCTCCTGCGGCTTCTCCGCTTGTGACAACACATCCCAGAACTCTGGGGCGCACGTGTCCCCCACCTGTTCAGGGCTGGCCATCTCTTCTCCTCCTCCTTGATAGGTCACCACGCTGGGGGGCTTTTTGGAAGCCCCCGCTTTGCCAACCCCAGGGGCGCTCTTGTCGCTTCCACCTGCGCCACCGCCACCGCCGCTGCCCACGTCCTCCTCCTGGTCGGCAATAATGTCCCCACAGCCTGTAAGAGAGTCAAAGCTTTTCAGTGAAGTCACGTCAGCAAACATCAAACAAATACGGTCAATGGACGGCTCAGAGGGTGGATCAAGAGAGGAAGGGTCAGGGGCTGCCGCCGCCGCCTCTTGGCTGCGTTCACACTCGGGTTCAACAGGGGGGGAAGGCTCGATGGGGATGTCACCTGTTATGGCGCCGTCCTCCTGGGTCCCTGGGCCATCGCCATCTCCGGGGGGCGGCTCGGGGCGGCTTTCCTGCGCCGGGGGCTGGATCCCGGGGGGCTCGGCTCCCAGTGGTGGTGAGGTACGTGGGGTGGGCTCCCTGGCACCGACGTCCTGCTGCTCTTGGGTGGGCACGGCCTCAGCGCTGGGGTGGGCCAGCAGCAGCATCTGGTCCCCACTGGCCACCCCTGAGGGGGTCTGGGGGGCTGCAGCCGCCGCCGCCGCCGCCGGGGGTCGTGGCGCCTCCTCTTTGATGCACTCCAGGCTGGCCGTGAGGGAGCCGGGCCTGAGGTGGCTGGCCTGTCCCTCGGCGCCGTCTCCGGCCTCGTCCTCCTTGCTGGGCTTGTCCCTGCGGTGCCACCTCATGCTGTTGAAGAGCCCCTTGAGCCCCCCGCGCCCTTTGGGTCTCTCCCCTTTGCCGCCTTCGCCCGAGCGGCCGTTTTTGCGCAGCAGAGAGAAGAAGCGGTGGGACTTGCTCGCCGCCGAGCAGGGGGAATAATCCTTGGGGGCTCCGCCGCCGCCGCCGCTGCCGCCAAACTGGTCGTCCCCGCCGCCGCCGCCGCCGCCGCCGCCTCCTCCTCCCGGTTCCTCCTTCTTGCCGCCTTCGAGCACCACCTCGGCCAGCCCGTCGTGGGTCTTGCTCCTCACCATGCCCGGCTGCCCTCCGCCCGCTTCCCCGCCTTTGCCTTTGCCGCCGCTCCTCACGCCGAAGATGCTGGGCATGGCGCCGCCGGACTTCCTGCGCTTGAACAATTTGAAGGCGGTTTTGTTGAGCTTGCCCGATGGCGGCGGCTGATCGCCCACCGCGCTGAGCTCGGCACAGTCCCCGTGCACGTCCATGGCGGCGGCGGCGGCGGCTGCCTTCCCCTCCTGCAGCTCCCCGCCGATGCCTGGTTCCTTTCCCTCGCTCTCTCGCTCGCTCACTGACAGCCTTCTCGCTGCTGCTGCTGCTGCTGCGGCCGCCGCTGCCTCCTGCCCGTCACCATGGCAACCCCGGCACGGCTAAGCAGCTTTTACTCAGCCCTAGGCCTGGGCCTGCGCCAGGCCTCCGCCGCCGCCGCCGCCGTTCATCCGCTCGCTCCGCAGCCAACCTGAGCTGTTACAGCAGCCCACAATCAAAGCCAGAAAGCGGGGATGGCGGGAGGGAAGGAGGGGCGAAGGGAGAGGCGACTCCCCCCTCCCCACCCCACCCTCCGCGGCTTTCCAAAAGCGGGGAGGGGGAGGGCTTATATAACTTAATCCATTTGGGGCTGCTGTGACTGCGGCTGCTCGCTCGCTTAGCATATGCCTGGGCAGGGACGGAGGGAGGGGGCTGCTTTATTTGGGGCGCATGAGGAGGCTGTTGCTTACACACCAGAAGTATTGGGAAGCAGGGGGGATGTGGATCATCCACCAGCACAATTCCTTTCCTCATGCTTTTAAGCTCCTGTTTTATTCTCTCCCCAGCACCTGGCTTCTTTTTATTTAAAGGAAGAGGTGGTAGGGCTGGAGCCTTTCTTCACTACAAGCACACCCTCAAGTTTCCCAACTCCATTTTGCGGGGAAAGATACTCTGCATATGCTTGAAGGCACTTTCTCAGAAGGAAGCCTGAGCGTTAGAAAAGAAACCAAAAGGGTCAGATCCAAATTGCATGCTGGAAACCCTTTTAAAAACCAAGCGTTGGAAAGAGGGCATGCATCTCATGTAACCAGAAGGATGGAAACAAAGGGTGCATTTTATTATACAGCAAGTCTAATGAACTGGGCAACTTTCATGGGGTCTGGTGGCGTTCCTCTTCCAAAAGCCTTTCAAAGATGTGTTTCCCTAGAACCTAGAACACATTTCAGCATCAATACCCAAATTGTAGAAAGAAAACATTCAGGATTTTCAAATCCTCTGCCCATGTTACTAGTAAGGATGTGAAAACAACTTCTCAGTTCATCAGAAATTTCTGGACCAATTAAAATAGTTTTGGTGTGCATAAATAGTCCAATGTTAGGTACAAGTACAGTAAACAACAGCAACCTGTACAGATAATGCAAAAAGTAATTTGATTCAGAGCTCAGTCCTGTTATCCTCCAGAGTTAACAGCAGCTGGCGGGGAGGGTTGCATCAGGAGAATAATGCAGGAGAAAGAGTTAACCACCCCTCCCCCTAGGCCCACTTCTTCAGTCACTGCTTCTTCCTCCATGACGGCTTTTAAGATAAAAACAAAAATGTCAGGAAATCCAGTCACAGATCTCTCATGTGACATTGACAAAGTCCTTTCTTACTTACTCTCCTGAACAGTTACGGGCCAGCTAACTCTTCCAGAACATTTTGCATCCACAGGATGTCGGCTTGAATAACTCCCACGAGGCATACTTGTGAATTTTTTTTCCTTCTGAATGTTTTATCCATGTAACTTGTTCAATAATGAGATCTGAGGCTAGATTTCTACGTATTTCTGATAGATGTAATCAATTCTGAGCAAATTGTGGGGATGAAACGATTTTCTCCACTATCCACTACATGGAACAGCTGCATTGGGTGTGGCCCTGGAGATATGTAGGAACGGATCCTTTTGGGAAGTTAGTCTCCTGAATTCCTTTGTATTCCCATCTTCATAGGTTGCATGACAGACTATATTTGCAAGAGACCATATCAGATCCATTATCATAACCAATTATCAGCTGCAGTATCCCTGCCCAAAGAGCTGCTTACGCCATATCAAAATGCAAGCTGAGATTACTGCTTCTATTGTTCTGTGTAATGAGAATCGCAAATAATTAAATAACATTTAAGTACAACAGAAGAACTTACCTTGTGTTTTAATACCCACTATGCTTAATGCCAAGGGACATGGGTGGCGCTGTGGGTAAAACCTCAGTGCCTAGGACTTGCTGATCGTATGGTCGGCGGTTTGAATCCCTGTGGCGGGGTGAGCTCCCGTCGTTCGGCCCCACCTAGCAGTTCAAAAGCACCCCTAAGTGAAAGTAGATAAATAGGTACCGCTTTATAGGGGGAAGGTAACGGCGTTTCCGTGCGCTGCACTGGTGCTGGCTCGCCAGAGCAGCTTTGTCATGCTGGCCACGTGAACCGAAAGTGTCTTCGGACAGCGCTGGCCCCTGGCCTCTTAAGCGAGATGGGCGCGCAACCCCAGAGTCGGACACGACTGGCCCGTGCGGGCAGGGGTACCTTTACCTTTATGCTTAATGCCTACTATGCTAACTGTGGACAATATATCTTCCTAGCTGAAGATCTTGAAGTGGTTGTTTACAAAATACTAACTACTACATGAAACCAAAATATTGTCTAGTGCATATTCCAGTGGTTTTCAACCAGGGTACCATGGCACCCTGGGGTGCCTTGAATGGTGGTCAGGGGTGCCACAGGCAACACTGTCCTCTGTCCCTCTTTCCTTCCTTCCCTCCTCAGATGCCCTCTGGCATCTCTGCCTCCCAAAGACTTGCACAGCTGTTTGTTGCAGCAGCCCTGGCTACAAGCTCCCCAGGCAAATGCTGCCTCTGGGGCTGGTCAGGGGGTGCCGGTTGCCAGGAGCTGAGGCAGCCTCGGAGTAAGCAAGCAAGCAGGCAAGGGAGCCTAGCCAGCCAGCCCACCAGCCCTTGCTGTTGGGAATGGACAGACAAGTTCTGGGCTCCTGTGGGACAGTGTGAGGAGGCACCTCTCTTTGGGGCAGGAGGGGGGCAACTCAGAGACCGGGGGGGCAGCAGCAGTTGCCCAGAAGACTCCCAAGGATGGGGAGAGGAGAGGAGAGGAGGCTGAGGGACCACTCCACAAGAGAGGGTATTTGAAAAAAAGTGAGAGGCTGCCAGCTCTGCAGGCAAGGGGTGATATAATTGGGCTTCTGGGCGCCACAGGGACCACAGAAAAAATTTAGTTGGTCAAAGGATCTGTAGACTAAAAAAAGGTCCACCTGGCATATGCCATAGAAAAGCTGACATTCAGGTGACAAATTCTATTGGCAATGCTTTGGCTGTTCACCACTTTTAACAGCTAGCATGTATTTGCATTAATTCATTTGGTATAGGAGGAATGCAAAGTAGTGATTTTGCCTCCTGGTCATCTCTATGCTTCCAGCAAACCACTAACGAATACTCTAGTCATACAGTTGTTCAGGTACTGGGTCAAGGAAAGCTTACTTGTCAGAATGAGAGAGATAACAGATGTCGAGAACAAACAGATGAGCCGACAAACCCATCAAGTCATAACATTTTCATTATTTTTAGTGTATACGTCGTGTTGTCTCCGTCATTACTTAGTGATTCAGAACAAAGTTGTTACATAAGCAAATAAAATGTAACATTCATGGAGAATAGAGAAAACATATTTACTTCAGAAGTTGAATGTTGGTGGCTGGTAGTCATGCAATGCAAAAACACCTGGAGGAGAGGAGGAAAATTGAGTGTGATGTTTATTATGTTTATTATTATTATTACATTTATATCCCACCTTTCATCCAAATAGTTCAATATGGGGTACGTGGGTCTCCCCATCTCCATTTTATCCTTACAACAAACTGTAAGGCAGATTAGGCTAAGAGACTATGCCTGGCCAAATATCACCCAGTTACTTTCATGGCTGAGTGGGGATTTGAAGTTTGGTCTCCCAGGACCAAGGCCAAATCTCTAACTGCTGCATCACACTGCCTTGTGTTGCTTACGTTTTTACCTTTCTTCTCAGCCAAACATGACTCCTAAAACACCTTATAGTAAGATCAAACCATGACTAAACATGCATTATATTTTTAAAATATAATTTAAAAAAGAATGTGATCATCTCACAAATACTATAAATAGTACCACTAAACAATCAGATAACAAAACTCTCCTAAAAAGAATGATTTTTGTCAGCCCCCTAAACATGCAAAATGCGTAGCCACCCAGAAATCTTAAGGCAGGATGCCACAAGGGAGAAAGCATTTTTTTCTGGCTTGCCACTTGTAACTCAGTAGTGGCCCAGGCACCCACAAAATTTTAAATGAGGAGGCTGGGCCACGTCAATATTCCACAGCCGGGCGGGCTCCATCGGGCCCTCCTGCTGCTGCAATGGGCTCTGGTGGGCTCTCCTGCCGCTGCAATGGGCTCCAGCAGGCCTTTTGGAGGGTGTGCTGGGGCTTCTCCCAGCTAGTGATGTCATGCATGGTACACTGGGCATCCACTATGTTGGGTGGAACCCGACACACCTGGTGGGTAGTCACTATGTGGTGGGGGAAAATTGAATTGTCTGAATCCATGTTTGGTCAGAACCAGGGATTTCCATAGTTTAGTGGCCTTGTATTACGCCAGAAGCAAATTGTTTTTAATCAGTATAAGGAAAGTTAAACATCAGGTATAAGATAACAAAATGGCAATATTGGGTTGTGATCCTGAATACATTTTCTTACAAGCAGTTGAACAGAAATCAATGGAATCCCATTTCTGTGCTTCCAAGTTAATGGGTCAGTGATGTGATGTTTAATTGCTGCTATTTGCAGAATTTCTGAGGGCATTAAGAGATCTGATATAAGCAAATATTTGCAATAAGTGTACAAAGTGTAATAAATGGTGTGCATTCTATCTATGGGGCAATTGCAAGATCCTTTAATGCAAATAGCTTTTGTGTGCGTAATAGGAGTATTTATAGAGTGGTAATGTTGCTCCATGTTATTAGCTATGGGGAACTATGTACATCTGAAATCTGGGTCAGAGAGTGTGCTTTGTAAATTTGCCATAGGGCTTGTTTTTTATTCTCAAGGAAGAAAAGGCTTCTGATGTTAGGTCCAGAGGTCTAGCATTCGTTGCTCATTGCCAGCAACCCACCCACAGCTGCCACATTACATAATGCAGATATTCACACAAAACCATTCTTTCAAAGCTCAAGTAAACAGAAGCCCATGCTGGAAAAGCGAACAAAAAAGGCTCACAAATCTAGCTGGAAGAAGCTGCACAATGTAAGTAAAAGTTTACAAATGACGAAACCTTATTGTGCAGCATTTCTGTCTGATGGTGTATGGGAGGATTAAATGGCTCAAAATCTCATGAAAAAGGTTGGTTTTCTTGTGATTGTGCACAGACACCAATGCTACCTCCAGGTCTGGGCTCCAGCAGGTTCCTATTGGTGGTGGCAGTAGGAGTGGTAATATATTATTATGATTATTCACCACTTTTAAAAAGAAAACTCAAAGCAACTTACAATATAATACAAAACCAAAACCAATATAAGACTAAAACAAAATAAAAGCTAAGCACATTCACATACCTAAAAGGCGGTCTAACACATCCAGTGCCGTGATCTGTGTCATGTTGTCATTGCGAGCAACCCAGAATTTTAATTATCAACACTACCGCCTATGTCAGGGGTGGGGAAACTGCCTGCGGCTCTCCAAACAGCTCTGTCTGAGAGAGCCAGTGTGGTGTAGTGGTTAAGGGCGGTAGTCTCGTAATCTGGTGAACTGGGTTCGCGTCTCCGCTCCTCCACCTGCAGCTGCTGGGTGACCTTGAGCCAGTCACACTTCTTTGAAATCTCTCAGCCCCACTCACCTCACAGAGTGTTTGTTGTGGGGGAGGAAGGGAAAGGAGAATGTTAGCCGCTTTGAGACTCCTGAAGGGGAGTGAAAGGCGGGATATCAAATCCAAACTGTCTGGCCCTCATAATTCTCCCCAGGCCACACCCCTCACTGGTCCTGCTTCACACCCCAAGTATTTTTGCCTGGCTAGAAAGTGTCATTGAACTGTGAGAATGCCTCTTGCTTGTCTGGATGAAGGATATGGAAGACGTGTGTGTCCATAAAATTAGCCTAATGTGTACAAAATAAACTTTACATTCATTGCTTTGTCTACTTTTGTCTCTGGCCCCACTTATCACTGGCATGTGGCTCGTGAAAGCTTGCTCAGATGGCAATGCAGCCCTTGTATGTTGGAGTGGGGAATGCTTTTCGGCTCCAAGTATTGTTCCAGGGCATTGTGGGAAATTTAAACAATGGGCAGCTCCCAGGCTCAGCTGCCCAGAATGGGAAGACCATCTCCAACATCAGTGGTGGGCTCAGCCAAGGCTCTTTGCCCCCACAGCTGCCCTTGGATGCGAGGTACGGATGCCAGCCCTGATATACACAAACACATCTGTGCCATATCAGTAAATGGTGCCAAGATGCGTGCACAAAGCAATCCATTCAAGGAAGGTCTCATCTACATTGATATAGAGGTTTGTGGGAAGTTTCACTGTGGCTGTCCAGCAGTACCCTTTTTTGGGCCACGCACTATTGCTGTCCACATTAATGTCTGCTATCAGTTCTGGCTGCAGGTTTCAGAAAGGTCAGATGACTTTCTGCCCATTCATGTGTCCTCTCCCCTTGGGTCTAGACTGCACAACTGTCCCAAGGGAGAGCACAAGGCATGTGAAGACAGGAAATGACAGCAAGGAATTTATGGGGGCCAACAGTGGGTTCCCATCACAGAGGGAGCCTTGGCAGGTGCCCAACGATGCCTACCTCTGAAGCTGGCCCTTTCTGCTAAGGCACAATGGAGGGAAGACACTAAATCAATAAAATCAATAAAACACCTTTTGAATACATACGCCCAAAGGGGTTCTCTTTTATCTTATAGAATCATATAATTGAGTTAGAAGGGACCTTGAGGGTCATTTAGTCCAACCCCCTGCCATCCAACCTCTGCTTTAAAACCTCCAGTGAAGGAGAGTCCACCACCTTCTGAGGGAGTCAATTCCTCTGTCAAACAGCTCTCACAGTCAGAAAGTTCTACCTGGTGTTTAGCCAGAATCTCCTTTCTTAAAATTTGAATCCATTAGTTCATGTCCTAT